CCCCCATTCTTCACCCCGCCCCGGGCCCCCTCCCGGCGGACAGCAGGGGAAGGTACTGATATAATAAAGAAATGGCTCCCTTCTATAGGATATGTTTTGCGTATCGAGGGTAACGTAAAGACGTGATACAGGGGATGGTGGAGGGGGGAGCTCGCGGCAGGGGTACTATAATGAGGGAAGCTCTGTAGAGTGGAACACTGGAGGGGGCACTGGGTAGACGTAGAAGTACGTAAAATCAAACAATATGCGAGCGTGCAAAAGAAATCGTTGGAGTTTTGGGTCTCATATCTTTTGTATCTTTATTTTGGTGGTGCATATCTAAAAAGAAGTGCAAATAGATATAAGTTACATCTAATTTATGATAAGTTTATAATTTAGATATGCGGCTAACCAAACACCCTCGTATATACTAATATGTATGCACATTAGTATATGTATGCAAATCTTTTTATATGGCGCATATTGAAAAAATGTGCGAGCCAAACAGGCCCTTAAGAAGTACTTTTTTATTATTAGTGTTTATAGGAAAGATTGCTGTTTCTAGGAAAACTCTACCTACCTAGGCAAGGAAATTACGAAGTGTTATTTGAGGTATTAGGGATGTTTGTTTATGCGGGGATTTTAGATGGGATAGGTGATGGGTAGGTATGTATGTAGTTAGTTGATTGACTGATTTTCGAATCTTGTTGTTGATGTGGATGATGGATGGATGATGGATGATGGATGATGGATGATGGATGATGGATGATGGATGATGGATGATGGATGATGGATGATGGATGATGGATAATGGGGTTTTTTATCTAGATTGGATAAATGATTCTCTACTGATACCCGCGGATATGTTTATTAGATACGTACTAGTGCCATTACGTACTTAACTTCTTTTTGCACTATTTCGTTTATCGTGTCTTATACTGTGTATCTATATCTCATTATTTCCTCTCCCCCTCCCTCCCCCATTCACCCTCTACTCCCCATCCCCAATTTCCCCTCTACACCCTCCCTATTTCCCCTCCCCTTCCTACTCATCCCCATCCCCACCCCCCACACACCCCCCAAACTTCCACACCTGATCAACAACCAACCTCTTCCTCCTATGCCCCTCCCCATCTTCATGAATCTCCTCCGAAAGCACCACCAAATCCGCATCCGCATCGCTCTCCAAACACCCCTTTACACCTTGCAACCCCAGCATGGCAGCGGGTGTTGCGGTTACGGCTTTGAGCGCTTGGGGGATGGTGCAGCCTGTGTAGGAGAGGAAGTTGGAGACGCAGGAGAGGAGGGGGAGAGAGCTTTTTTGAGTTAGTTTTTTGGTTTGGTGAGATGGGGGATGGGGATAGGGAAAGGGAAGGGTTAAGGAAGAAATAAACAAACCTCCCAGCAATCTTCTCCGTCCCCTCCAACACCAACCTATCCCCCACCTTCCTCAACATCTCTCTCCCGCCCTCCCCCCACTCATAAACCCCATCCGGCAAGCCAACAAGATGCATCGCATCACTCACCAGAATAAACCCCTCGGGATGCGCATTCCACGCAATCTTCACACTCGCAGGATGCAAATGTATCCCATCAGCAATGACCCCATAATACGGTCTCGGCACACTCTCCGCGGCGCCCAGAACCCCGAATACCCCTGGGTTCCGGTGGTGTAAGGGTGCCATGGCGTTGAAGAGGTGCGTTATCATGGTTGCGCCGGCGGAGATGGCGAGCGAGGCGTCTTCGTAGGTTGCGGCTGTGTGGCCGAGGGAGATGATGGTGTTGTTTGTGACGAGGTGTGGGATGAGGGTTGTCATGGAGCCGAGTTCGGGGGCGACGGTTAGTTTGCGGATTTTTGGGGGGGTGAGGAGGCCGTTTTGGTGGGTTGGGTAGAGGTTTGAGGAGCCGTAGATGGTTTCGAGGTCGGAGAGGGAGTGGGCGGTTGTGAGGACTTCGAGGGGGTGGATGCCGTTTTTGGTTGGGTTTAAAAAGGGCCCTTCGCAGTGCGCTCCTAGGGATTCGGCGCCATCTGAGGCGAGTCTTTGGGATCCTGAGGGTCCGAGGAAGGGGAGGGCTTGGTGGTAGACTTCTGGGGGGGAGGAGGTGAGGGTTGGGAGGTAGGATGTTACGCCTGTTTGGACGAGGGATTTGTTGACTTGTCTTAGGAGTTTTCCGTAGCTGGAGGGGTCGGAGGGGATGGTGGAGAAGTTGAAGCCGAAGGCGCCGTTGAGTTGGACGTCGATGAGGCCTGGGGAGATTATTCGTCCGCCTAGGTCGACGGTTTTGGTTGGGACGGTATGGGAGCTGTAGAATGCTTCTTGACTTCGTATGATTTTCCCGGTGCCGCTGCTGACCCAGAGGTCTTGCTCTACTAACTCATCGCCTTTTACCAGTCGGCAGTTTGTGAACTTGGTGATGGTATCATGGGTGGTTGAAATAACCGAAGGCATAATGACTGAGATATGATAGACGAGGTAATAATAAGAGAAGTATGGAAATGAAGATTATTCTCAGTCGTGGTTACACGACGATCTACCCGTGAGGACTACATAATGGATAACATAGAACTCACAGAGTTTCCAGACATGCCTTTCTGATATCTCCTTCGAAAGTCAACTACCTAGCTACCCCTCCAACGGTACCAGCCACTAAGCCGCACGCGTTTGCAATCAGATAACCCAAACACACCCCCACCATGACTCGACTTTGCGACACAAGAGTGGAGGGTGAGGGACATGACATACTGGAAACCATGTTGGGGGTAACAAAGGCAACAACACAGAAAGTACTTGTGTTGAGGCAAAAAAATGGGAAACATGATCGTGAGAAATGTAACGTCCCATTTCTCCGAGATCGCCGTTGGGTAGTGCCGAACCGCAACCAACTGGTGGACGGAGATGGGAACGTTGTTTGGTACTGATGAGAGCTTTTGTCAACACACATTCTAGGTTTTCTTTGTTCTCGAGCTATCGTGCCATGCGATCCAACCGTTGGTACATGAGCGAAGATGCGAGGTTGAGAGGAAACAGAAGATGTCGGAAATGAGGAAGTGAAAGGGAGCGAATGCCGGATGCTACAGCTGAATTCAGAAAAAGATGCATGGCCAGATAGCTCGTGTAGAAGATGATTGTGAGTGTCTCAGACTCCCTTTCTGATCCCACTTGGTCTCAGAAACAATTAGAGATACGGAGGTATTAGCGAGTGAGGTTGGTGTGGGATGTTAGATGTAGCATCCAAAGAACATCAGGGGTCCTTGGATAAACCATTTTCCGGAGCTTCTCGAATCGAGAAAAGTCACATGATTAAATCCACTTTCCAGTCCAGTTGCAGGTGCATCCTCGAGGCTCTGAACACTGCAGGAGCGAATATAAGCAGGCAAGCGCCAATGATTGAAAAAGAACTCTTTCTGGATTTTGACATCGTCAGATGAAATTTTTCTACCATCAATTGTCACATTTCCGACTCCCTCGTATCCCCATCCCCATCCCCTACCCTGAACCCAACCACCCACATCGTCTTTAGCCTGCGGCGCAGGGTTCATTTCTTCGCTTCCGAGTCTCCACCTCCGCAATTCATTTCCAATAAGCTTCGAATTCGTGAGGCTCAACGTTGACATCGATTACATCTACCTGTCCACAGCTTCTGCATGACGGAGACGTTACGCCGTGGCTGGTGCTGGACATAGTCCCTTGTCCACATGTGAGTGAGCTGCGTTGAACGGAATCCATCCAATTTTTGCCCCTGGTTGGCTTTGGATACCCGCCACACCACACGGTCACTTTGGACGACTTACGGTACTCGCCTCCAACAAGTAAAGATGGAAACTCCCGAGGATGAGTTGGACCCGCTTTGGAATGATCTCGATTGGTACGTCGCTTTACATATAATCAAATCGCGTGATTTGTTGTGTTGTCTTCCGGGATGGTGCCGAAGCATCAAGATCGTCAATGCTATGAGTGACTGTATTGGTGTATTGACTCTTGGCCATATGGAATGATGTATAGTGAAATGTCTCCGATGTTGAGCTGCAGTGTTTCAATGGCTTCGTTTCTTATTGCATACTATTGGAGGCACATCTCCAAGCGAGCTTTTCTAACTGGATACTAGGGCGATAGGGCAAATGTTCTACATGGGATTCGATGGAACTGAAGTAACACCACAGATACGCATTTTAATAGAAGACCATCATTTAGGATCCATTCTTTTGACGACCAAAAACTTGAAATGTAAGCCAATCAGTTCTCCAAGTCCACTAAACACCTTGTCTGGTGCTAAATAAACGATCCCCAACGCATAAGCTTGCAGCATGTAAGAGGTTTTTCAAGTCATCATTTGTTGACTGAGGCAAAATTTCCTACGCACGTTCCCGTGCTTATGCAAATCGTTACTCGCTTTCTCTTTTCAAACTGTCGTATCAATGCAGTACGCCGTATTATGTCCTAACTATACAATTTATAGCTGCCCAGCAAACTGCAAATCTAGTTCAAGAACTTCAAACCATCGCTCACAAGGCAGGTCATCCGGTACCTCTTTTGATCGCTTTGGACCAAGAAAATGGCGGTGTCAACAGTTTATTCGATAATGACTACATCTGTCAATTTCCCAGTGCCATGGGAGTGGCAGCAACAGGAAGCCTTGAACTTGCCTACGAGGTGGCTAATGCTACTGGAAAGGAATTGATTGCTGTTGGAATCAACATGATCATGGGTCCCGTCCTCGATGTATTGACAAACGCAAGATACCAACCTTTAGGAGTAAGAGCAACTGGTGACGATCCGCAAGAGGTCTCGCAATATGGTATTGCGGCAATGAATGGGTATAAAGATGCGGGTATCACGACTTGTGGAAAACACTTTCCTTCTTATGGGAATTTAGACTTTTTAGGATCATCTCTTGATATGCCTATCATTACAGAGACATTGGAACAGCTGAGTCTCGGAGCCCTTGTCCCCTTTAGAAATGCTATCAGAGAGGGGCTTGATGCCATGATGGTTGGTGGCTGTGCAATAGCCAATGCCGGTAAGTGTTCAACAAAAAGATGTGCTCGATAAGCTGACAAGCTATAGATATGAGTGTTATGCACGCCTGTTTGAGTGATCAAGTTGTAGATGACCTTCTTCGAGGAGATCTTGGTTTCAATGGTGTCACGATATCCGAATGTTTAGAAATGGATGCCTTGAACAAAGATATAGGAGTAAGAGGCGGAACTGTCATGGCTGTCGAAGCTGGATGTGACTTGGTTCTCTTGTGCCGATCTTACCAGGTGCAATTGGAGGCAATATCTGGTTTAAAGCTTGGTATCGAGAACGGCATGATATCAAGAGATAGGATCAATCTTTCTCTGAAACGCATCCTACATCTAAAATCGAAATGCACCTCCTGGCCACAAGCTTTAAATCCTACGGGGATAGATCAACTCAGTATCTTACATCCGACTCATTTGGCACTGTCGACAAAAGCATACGACAAATCGATTACCATTATGAGAGATAAGGGTCATATCTTACCCCTTTCTAATGCTTCGAGCCTAGGGGACGATCTGCTTCTCTTAACGCCTCTCGTTAAACCTTTACCAGCCTCCGCAGCTACCAAGGTCGTCTCAGAGACCCAAGGCGCCACGACTGAACACGATAAAGCTCATCGTTCTTCAATCATGAGTGGCGAGGGTGTATTCCGGGAACTCGGTCGAGCTCTGGCAAGACAGCGTCACGGAAAGTTGCTGCACACCTCATACACTGCTAACGGCGTTCGTCCAGTACACGAGAATTTGATCAACAAAGCAGCTACTATTATTGTTGTGACAGCCGATGCCAATCGAAACCTGTACCAGAACAGCTTTACCAAGTATGTAGCCATGTTCTGTTCGTTGTTGACTGCGGGAGGAAAGAAGAAATCCTTGATTGTGGTTTCAGTCAGCTCCCCATACGATTTTGCCATGGATAAGGATATCGATACCTATGTTTGTACGTTTGATTTTACCGAAACAGCCATGTCGGCCCTTGTTCGAGCTCTATTCGGAGAATTCACACCATCCGGAACTCTACCTGGTACGCTACGCAAAAGTAGAAAAGTGACGAAATCCAGGCAACAATGGTTGGTGGAGGGATTCGATAGGAATCGGGACCAAGAAGGTCTTGAAGAATTGATCAAGACGGTTGAGAAGAATTCTCCTGCAAATCAATTCTGCCCATTAGCTGGCGCGACGGCTTCTTCGTTTGAGTTGGTAGGTGATCAATGGTCCAGTCACTTCTTTAATTTCAATTAACAATTACTAGGTCTCGGTTGTAGGAACTGATATAGAGGTGGAGGAAGAGTTCCATTATGTAGTACGAAACAGTAGTACACAAGCTCTATTTGGATTTTGCTCTACCTACTTTTATCAAGGTGTAGGCATGATAGGAGCTATTTTTGTCGACCCAGCCAAACGGAATCTCTTAATTGGACACTCACTCCACAAACGTGCCATGCGAGGTCTCCTCCAGAGACCTGGTATAGAAAAGATCCAACTCGGTCTCGGCCTTCCAGGTATCTATCTCGGCATCCCAATGAGCGATCTCTCCGAAGGCGGACGACTCAAATGCTGGTTCGCAAATAACGGATGGGACATTCTATCCCCCCGTCTTCTATATACCCTCACCATCCGGAACCTCTCGCACTGGGAGATCCCAGAAGGCCTCCTCCCATCCATCCAGCGCGTCTCCTTCTCCTTCGACCTCATCCATGGCCACGACAACTCCGACACAGTCCTCGACCACGTCCGCACCAACGCCGGTCCGGAAGTCCTCGCCCTCTACCAACTCGCCCTCGAGGACTCGGGCTGCGGGATCGTCCGCGCGAAATCTCCCGTCGACGGTGCCCTCGTGGGAACCATCATCATCTGCCGTCCCGAAACGCAGCTCTCGCGCTACATGCCGGTTCTCCATTCTTCCACTGAGAGGGAGAGGGAGAGGATTGGTGGGATCCTCGCCCCGATCATCCCCTCGAGTCCTCAGGCGGATATTGTCTTGCAGGGCCTGGCGCTCTTGGGCATTAAACAGAATAAGGCGCATGCGGCCGGGACGTGTGTGTTGAATTGGGTGCAGGGGGAGCAGAGGGATGTTCTTCTTCAGATGGGGTTTGATGTTTTGGATGCGTGGGAGGAGTTGAGTTGTGTGCCTGGGAAGGTTGGTTGATTTTTTCTTAGTTTCTTTCTTGTTTTCTTTTTGCTCTGCTCTTCTTACTTTGACTGTTTTAATTTATTTTGTTTTTTTTCGTGTGGTTGTGGAAGGGTTATGGATGGGTGTGTGATAAGTCCTCATGCTGACTTCTTTTTTTTGTAGTTTAGTGAGCCGGGGTTGGGGTAGAGTAGAGTAGGTTGGTTGTATTATAGCTTTGATCGAATTGGATTGGATTGGAGAATTGTTTATGGATGGACGTTGTTGTAGTCGTTGTTGTTTTCTTCGTACTCTTCTTCCTTCCCCTTTATAATTAATAAGAGATGTTTACTTGGCTACGTACGAGGTGTGGTGTGGTTTGAACTTTAGTGATTTGTACAGTATCAACTTTCGGGGGCTATCTTGGGGATGTCTTGTGAAGCGTGGGAATGCGGGTGGGTGTTGGTGGGATTATTAGTGATTGGGGATTATTAGTGATTATGGCTTTTTTGTTGTGCTAATGAACTATGTTTCTATTTATTTATCAATCAGTATCAAGCATCCATCAAGAATCAAGCATCAAGCCCTGTACCCAGATAAGATTCAAGGCAGAGCCGCAGAAGGCTTTAGCTTAAAATATTTTTTCAAGCTAGGAGCGAGATACTGTAGTAGGTACTGTACCTATATGTACTGTAATCTTACGGAGTGAATTAGAGAAGATAGTAGGATGGTGGTATGCGTTATCTCGGTAGGTAGACAGATGTGGAATACGCGTGGATGTGTGGTAGGTATTCGGGGATTTGGGGGAGGGGAGGGAAGGAAGGGAAGTGAAGGGGAGGGACGTAGTATTGTGTATTGTGTGTGGTGTGTTGTGTATTGTGTGTTGTGGAGAAAAGGACCCGAGATATCTGGGGGTTTGAAGGAGTGTATGGAGTGTTGTTTGTTAAGACTCGATGGTGGTAGGTATACAGAAGTATAGCTTTTAGCGGCTGGTATAATGTATTTGGTTCTTGGTGGGTTCATGGTGGGTTCTTAGTTCTTTACGTATACGGGGGTTTTGATGATATTGCTTGGGTGTCTTGGGAGCCTGATATTAAGGGATATATGGGAAGGGTATTAGAGGGGCTAATAGAGATACATAGAATTTATTACTTCGTACAGTAGTAGTTATAAGTAAAATTATAGTCTAAGAAGTTCGAATATCCCTTCTAGAGTACATACCCGAGAAACCCACAAAAAAGACGTGCACTCGAAAGTGGATCAAGTGGATGCGAGGACTAGGTAGGTTAAATTAAGGCTCAAATACTTGGAAACTCTGTCGGGGTGATTGAGCCGCTTCGTTTTACGGGGGAAATGTCACAAAATTGGAGACTTCTACTCCACTTTGAGTGTACCTTCATTTTGTGAGCCTGTACTCTAGAAGGGATATATTTTGCTTTGCCTTTTTAGAGTGGATGTTGTATTAAGTGGGTCGCTAAAAGAAGGTCTTGCTACAAACACGTTATCCCTTCTGTAGAGAGCAAAGGTAAATCTGCGAAGATGCGAAGCCAGGGTAAAACGTGCGCGTAAAGTGGATGCACGAGATGCGATAACTGAGTTACATTAAGGCTCAAATGCTTGGTAAACCTGTCTGCTTAGCTAAATGACTTTGTAGCACCGGGACCATGGTATGAAAGTGAATACTTTTACTCGCTTTTACTTCGCTTTTGGTATACACTTTACAATTGCCTTTCTTTCCTGGATTGTAGTAAGGATAGAAAATTACTTGTCAAATTTACGTGTATGAAGTAGTAGAAGTAGGCGGTAGTGCATCCTAATTTAAAGCGGGCCTCGCGAGCACAGACTCCTGCGGCTGCTCGTAGAGCCCCTGACATTACCTAGTTAGTACCCCCCTGTTAACTACCTAAAAGGGTAATTAACAATTATTGGTCAGATATACCTGGTCAGTATCCACCTACACTTAGCTACTCCACGAGTGTGGTAGGTAAAAGTTAACTAAAAATTATAAGCTTAGTATAAAATTATATCTACAAATCTACGTGTAACGAATACTCAAACTGGCTAACTAAACTTGGCTGGGTGTTCGCTGGTTGGTATGCTATGATAAGAAGAAGACTATCGGGTTGTTCACTTGGAAGTGAACTCGTTACTTGTATCAAAGATGTCAAACTAATATGATAAGATTGATAACTAAGTTGAGCACGAAGCTCCTATCTAAAGGCAGAAGTGCCAGTCTTATATAGATCCTTCGTTCTCCTTAAGTCACAAAGTCGACAACGACTTTGTCGCCCTGCATATATCACGTGACCCTCTACATGTGAAATCCTTGGATCGCTTAGCTACTCTAAGCATCCCTATTTGCTATAACTATCCTGATGTGCCTGTCCTGTCGGAACGCCGTCTGGACTAACTCATCACATGACGCGGGCATGCCCTTTAACACGTGATTCGTGACACTACGGCTTTCTAATAGTACTGTTATCTTTACGATATATACTTTATTACTAAAGATGCTAGCGTTATTATTATATTGTAATTTCGGGTATGAAAACCCGTACTAGTATATACTTGGCCACTCTACTATTCTACTTATCTACTCCGCTATTCCACTTATTTACTCTACTATATATGATTTACAGGCCTTGTGTAGCTTCTAGTACTAACTAGCTGGAGTAAGAGGCTCTGCTGACTCGTTCCTCGTTGTTAAGGCCTCAGGCTCTCAGTCTAATAATGGCGGTAGTGTAATTATACGAGGTATAAGGTTTGCGTCGCTTACAGGGGCGTGTCGCGCAAAAGTATGATCTACCTCACCGAGGGTTATTGTAATAGTAACAAACATAGTGAAACTTCAAGTTTAGTAGGTTTACATGGGGGGTTTCAGTGGAACACAGGGTAAATACTCCACCAGAATTTCACATTTGTTACGCCTAGACGGAATAACTTCGAGGTATGGAATTCAGAAATTCGGTTCTATGGCGTTTTACCCTGCTACAACTGTCACGGTACAAGTGCAAGTCGAGGACAATTGCGACTTGGTTGAATAGATTGATTACAGGGAGAGAAGAGATTCTTAAGGAGATCTATCTTTTAAGTCGGTTGACACTGGTCTGTGCTGGTTTATCCATAATTGTGAATAGCTTCATGAATGAACGCAGGTCACCTGATCTGACTCCGTGACAACAACAGCCTATAACGTTATCAAATAAGGCCAGAAACTCGAATTTACGACTCAAATAGGAAGTACTGAGAAATAAAACTGGACTCTTGGGGAAATCGAGCCTTGGGAATGCAGTCCTGAAACAACTTTAAGCTTCCGTAACATGGTAGGATAAGCTAAGCTATCTATTCTTGTTGATCATTCTAGACATCTTTCTATATAAGATTTCTAGCCATTCCCCGCTGTTCAAGAACCAATCTTCTTCAAACACTCACACCAATCGCTTTTATATACCATATCCCTTCGCTCTTACAACCCAACAATACTACTTCATCCCCACTTCTCCAATCCACCAATCATCATGAGACTCGACTTCATCCTCGTCTTAGGTTTTGCCTCGTCAGGCATGGCAGCCATAAATATGAACTGTAATGGCGGGACTGCCGGAGATGGAACCTGCGAAGCAAGTGGTCTAGCAACCTTCTGCTGCACCCCCTTGTTCAGAAATTTACCGGGGTTCACCACTAAGCGGTTGACCACCAGTAATGGCCAAACCAAAGAAGGGAACACCAAATGTATACCAGGTCCAGAATTCAAAAGTGAAGGAACCATACAATGCGCCTAGATGGTGCTGGTTGCCTTCAAGCTGCTGAAAGGCATATGACCTCCCGGTGATGTCACTGTGGTATGTTCTCTTCTTCCGGCCTTTACTTGTGGAGGAAATGACTAATGTTTTTATTAGGTGCCTCGTGTCTCGAGAGGAGGAGGTATGGTCACATAAGAAAGGCGATGGGTAATTAAATGGGAATTGTACATATAATGCCAGGCGTTGAGATGTTTGTCGAGTGGGTGGATGCATTTAGTAGTATGACTATACGAATTTATTGGAGCTCTCTACCTTTTACAGTATTTCATTTCAGCGCTTTCCACTGTTTTGTGAATATAAAAATCGAGGGGACATAAACTTAGAAATGAGAGGAGGGAAGGAGAGGAGTGTCGGTGTGGCTGTTTTGGGTGGGGTGGGGAGTATACCGTACGGTGATACCGATATGCGCTCCTAATGTGTTCAATATAAGACGTTCGGTTGGGTTCTAAGTTACGATTAATCTAAGATGAGGTCGGGATTTGAGATGTGCAGTGCATTTATTAATGATCAACGTGCGGTATCTGGAATTCCTTTCTATTCTAGACCCCTCCCCTAGAATAATTCCATTCCTTTTAGGATTTAGCTAGAAGTATTCTATTCCAGAGGTATATATTCTATAGAATTTAAAACTACTCCTTAATCCTATATTTTGATTGGTTAGAAAAACCTCTGGAATTCTATGGAACCCCTGGAATTCTAGAGCCTAGTTAATGAAGGATCCCATTCTATTTTATAGGTGCTCTAGCAGTTATCCATATGGAATATTCCACCTGGAGTTCCATGGAATATGGTTCCATTTGCCGAACGTTGTTGATGATTGGTCGTTCGATCTTCCTTGTGATGTGGGAAAAAGAGACATACAGTACCTCGAATTTTGGGGTTCGGGATGAAGAGGAGGGTGTCGCCGTGTCGGAAAGTCGATTCAATTTTGTGGTTGGGAATATTTGATGTGTTTGTCGCTACCAGTCTCGATATTTGAAGAAGTTCCATTAAGTTAGAACGTAATAACGTGGTTTATCAGCGAGTCGATCATATCACCGAGTCGATCACTTTTCCTTGGCACTACCTCCTCAAACTTCAACACACGTTTTCTTCAACTATTTACCATGGAAATTCAAACTCAAGAAGCGCGAATTACTCTAGCTATCGAGGCTATTCGGTCGTCCAAAAAACTAAGCAAACGCTCTGCGGCAAAGATCTACAATGTACCATATACGACTCTTTCCGACAGAATGGCTGGCCGAACCTACCGCCCAGATTCTCAAGCCAATTGTCATAAGTTGACTGAGTTAGAAGAGGAA